GAATATTAACGACAATGAAGAGCAAAAAAGATATATATATATATATATATATATATATATATTATATATATATATCATATATATATATATATATATATATGTGTGTGTGTGTGTGTGTGTGTGTGTGTGTGTGTGTGTGTGTGTGTGTGTGCGTGTAGGTATATATATGTGTGCAGGTATATTGATGGTTTGGTCTCTCGTTTTTGAAACATGAGAACTCTTATGTAGCGAAGGAATCAGATTTTTAAAAAAATGATCATGATCAAAAATTCCGATTTTTTGCTTCCTTGTCAACTACAATCTTTAAAAATTTCAATACAACGTCAATCGCTATTTTCTGCCTTTCTGAAAGTTGTTCTTTTATTCCTTTTTCTTCTTACTAAAGTTTCCTCACTTTTTCAATTCGACTAACCTATTGCAGAATAGTGACATTCTTGCTTTACATAAAATTATTAAAAAAACTGTCTGTAATATATATATATGTGTGTGTGTGTGTGTGTGTGTGTGTGTGTGTGTGTGTGTGTGCTAGCAGGCTACGGCCGCTCGCTATCTCTTCGTAAAGTAACATATTCATGAATCAAAAAGTTTAAATGAACATTTCATTCATAAATTGGCTTGTTATAGTTGAGGAAAGTTTTACAAATAGATGCTAACTTGTTTAGGGCCAATTTCAAACACTTTTCTCCGCTATATAAGATGATATTCCTAAACAGAACTGTTTTCGATATGAAAATCAAAACAATCATCGAATAAAAGAACAGTAATGAAAAACAGTTAATTAATGATTTTTTAAATCAATATTAGTTAAACTTGAAGAGTGATATTGCTTAAAATTACATAATATATAATACAGATATTGAGCTTTTGGTGTGTAAATTACTATAATGTAGAACTGGGGCTTTTTATTCTTAGAATTCGTGGGAGAATTGAGCTGCCATTTATTCATATAGATTCCATAATACAGGCTTTGCTTAATTTAATTAGCTATTATGTTTCTCTAACTCTTAAAATGTTGAATGTATAACTGATTCTAATTTCTATTTTCCCATCTTTACACTATATTAATTTTATCATATAAACTCTCCCCTGTTCTGTCACCCACGAAATAAAATTAATTGTCTGTATGGAAAATAAGAATTTACGTACATCAAATCGTCTTTGAATTTCAGAAGAATTATGTTGAACTTTTAAAAGGTAAACTTAAACGTTAATTCAATACATAAATGAAGCGAGCAGTTTTGATTTCTTCTGTAGTTTATTGATGCCTATCGCATCTGCTCTTACCTAGCTATTGTGATGATGGCCAAACCAAGAGGCCTCCACTATCGAAAATTGAACTCGGACCGTTACGATACGACGTAAGCGTCATACCAACTGTACCAACGGGCCTTGGTGACGAAGAGGTAACGGATTAGACTCGATATAGTGCCACTCTTCACAAATTCCGTGCTGTTCCCTTACCCATAAGACTTTACCCCCACGAGCTACGACTAGTATCCCCAAGTCGCTCCATCCAGAGCATTAGAAGCCGGTTCAAGCAAGAATATACAGGTGATAGAAATTATTAGGAAGATTTGAGATAATCATAATTAAGTAATTCATCGTCTAGAAGAAACCTCAACAGAATGCAGAAAGTACTGGACGGCCGTTACGACTTATCGTCTAACATTTGATAGTTTATGTTGTATAAGAGTAAGTGTCGTGATCATAAAGGAAGTGAATAAATATGAAGTAGCGTAAGGGTCACTGTTCTCTCTCCTTGTCTCTCCACTATTGCAATCACGTTCACTCTCTCTACTCTAATACTATACGGATTACGATTCTCTTCTGATCATTATACTATTTGGCAATTACTACTTGAACAAGTATTACTAGTGCAGATATTATTGGAAGGAGTTATGACTAGTACCGGCGTCTACCAAGTCTATAACAAGCATTTTTGGAAGCGGTAACGAGATTTCGCTTAACATAGCAAAAGGGACAAGTGAAGCCGTCCAACATCACAAAAGTTCATTACATTTCCAACCTTGAGTTCGGCCATCAAGTCAATCCAATGTAGCTCTACATTAATCAGTAAACGTTTCTAAAGGCTGTTTCAATAACTTGGAAATGATTTTAAATGAGAATTAAGTTTAAGCATCTAATGATTTTTTTTCTTTTTCTTTCAGATTTAACAAGTTAAATCTTTGGCAATTTCAACCCTGGAAAGATTAACAATCAAACAACGTGTTAAAGTTTCAAGAGTCCAACTGTAAAATTGTTCGTAAATTCAAACAAACTGGGTCGGTGGCAGATGTGAAAACATCATTGCTTGTTCGTTTACACCGTTTAGCTGAAAACATTGCTGCAGTGCACGAGAATGTGGCCGAAAATCCAGACCCCACTATTCGTCATCGCGCGCAGGAATTGAACCTCTCCACAACAACGTTACATCGTTTCAAATTGCATTCTCGGTTGGTTGATTATGTTGACCAAAAAGATCGCGATGTTCATGAAATGCATTTCTGTTTGAATGTCCATTTTCGTAATAGGCTTCGATGACTTTAACACGTTGTTTGATTGTTAATCTTTCCATGGTTGAAATTGCGAAAGAATTAATTTGTTAAATCTTAAAGAAGAAGAAAAAAATATTATTAGAAGCTTAAACTTAATTCACATTTAAAATCCGTCCAAGTTAATAAAACGCCCTTTATTAAGAAATCAGTTTTCATGTACTTCTTCGTCCAATTTTCCATTTTCTTTTTGTGATGTTTTTTTTTTGTAGTTTGTTTGTATTTGTCTTTCTTTGTTTCTTGTTCTGTATTTATTTATTTATTCACAGTCCATTTCTTTCTTCGCTATTTCTTTTTCATTCCCTCTCCGATTTCTTTCTTTCTTTCTTTCTTTTCGTTGTTTGTTTTTGAATGTTTTGCATTCTGCATCCTACATAACCTGTTTCACTCAGACCTGGTAACTACATCCGGTAGGGCGGTCTCTGGTCAGGAGATTGGGGGGGGGGATTTGAGGATTGTGGAAATACCTCTTAATTGCTGTTGATCCCAGGTCCTCCTAGGTTAACCCTGACCCTGGGTGGGAGCACCTGTCAGGGTAACAGCTGTAGGCTAATAGTGAGCCTCCCACCAAAAAAAAAAAAAAAAAAAAAAAAAATCTACAAACCATATAAATATAAAAAAAAAATAATTTTACACTGTAAGTAAAAAATTATGTTAAAAATATATCTCTAGTTGAAAGCCTAAAATTATGTACAAAATATTTAGATTTCGGCATTAAATAACCCATAGAGATGTTGATATGCCGCAAAGTCAATTTCTCATTTTCTTTTTATCTCTATCTCTCTTTTTCCCTCTTCATCTGTGTGTGTGTGTGTGTGACTTTATCATTGTATTTCCAAAGCACTAGTTACTCGCATTGCCTAGAGACGTTAGTGGAATTAAAGCAGCTATAGTCGCTTTAAATCTTATAACAGGTCAGGTTGACCTGAGCCATCGGTGTTAACGCTACTACTACTACTACTACGATTAATAATAAAAAGAATAATAATAAACAAAGGAAAAGAAAAAGAGAGTGATAGTGTGAAGAAAAAACAAGTACGTGTATGTGTGTGTGTGAGAGAGAGAGAGAGAGAGAGAGAGAGAGAGAGAGTAGGAGAAATAACGCGGCAAGAGAAAAAAAGAAAGAAAAGAATTTCCTGCAAGATTTGAATAAGAAAGGAGTTAAAAGATAAGACCATACTTACCTGGCATTCATTTCTTTTTCTTAGCTATTTTTTTTTTTTTTTAGGATTTCACAGATTTTACAAGTATCCAGATTTAATCCAATTCATAATATGTTGTCATTGTTTACGTTAAGGTTCGTTTCGTGAGCAGACATGATCGTCTGTGTAAGATCATCAAAGATTTCTTCTTTAAAAATATTAATTTGGATTTTGGCAACCAGACGCTTCTCTATAGCTAAGTGGTATAGCACGTCAGATCAAATGGCGGTTCTGTAAGGGACAAAGGTTCGATTCCTGTCGGAGAACACACATTTTTACGAAGTTTCTCGAACGTTCAGGTCGGTAAATGTAATTAATATTGTTTAATTAAAAAAACAAAGCATTTACTTAAATTATATCTATTAAAATAGCGTATAAACAGAATGTGTGTGTGTATATATATATATATATATAGATATATATATATAGAGAGAAAGAGATAATATTAGTGGTAAATATACATACATATGCAATTCTCTCTGTTAAGGTTTAATCTCCCTCCTCCTCATACTTACACTCTCTCTAAATTCTGTTTTTATTTCCGGGGTTGTTTTTTCTGTTTTATTTTTGAATTTGTAGGTCTGATGAATTGATCGTATTTATGATTCCAATGGAATAAATTATGACCATGGAATATTCGTGTTTAAGCCTTTTATTATATATATATATATATATATATATATATATATATATATGGAGAGAGAGGGATGAGGATGCTGGTTCTTAAGTCAAAAAAAGACACATCACACGTTGCTTACATCACAACGTTCGTTGGTTTTACAATTTTCGTTTAAAAATGAACTTTTATCATATGACTTCTAACATTTAACCACTAGCAGTTTTTTTTTTCTTAATTGCGCTGCAACAACATTTCTAAAATTTTATTAAACTCATAATTTGTCTCTATCTTCCCTGATGATGACTTAAGAAAGTCGAAACCTCGGACGATATTCTGCTTTTTTGATTGAGTGATTCGGTTTCTACGGTTCATCAACACTACGCAAGTTACTTCAACCCCCAAAATATTTTTAGATTGTAAGCATTTTTTCGTTTTAAGATAATAATGTTTTTTAGTGATACGAGTCTTACTAATTAATCCATAGTTGGGGGAGAAGAGAGTAGGATTCATACCTTTCCCAAGAGTATTCGCGCGGAAGTGAATATAACGAATCCAACTACAACTGAAATTCGGTTCGGCGATTAACAATTCTGAACCATTATCTATTACACCACCCGCACATCCAAGCTTACAGCACCGGGTATTTCCAGACGGTCACCCATCTAGGTACTGACCAGGCTCAACGTTGCTTAACTTCGGTGATCGTACGGGAACTCAACTCTTTGATTAACAATTCAGAACCATTATCCATTACACGACCTGAACATTTCACGATTTGCAAACGGTCACCCATCTTTAAGTACTGACCAGGCTTGGCGTTGCTTAACTTCGGTGATCGTACGGGAACTCGACTCTGTGATTAACAATTCCGAGCAATTATCCATTTCACGACCCGCACATTCAAGCTTACAGCACCGGGTATTTCCAAACGGTCACCCATCTAGGTACTGACCAGGCTCGGCGTTGCTTAACTTCGATGATTGTTCGTAAGCCGCTTTTACTTTTTCTTCCGAAATGAATTTTGGACAATACTTGATGGAAAGTCTGAGAAAGATTATTCGTAATTTGGAGAAGTTGATGATTAAAATTAATCGACATTTTCGTTTTCAGTAATATATATCATCCTGGGTATGACGATAAACTACATCCGGCAGCAAGGCCTCTGATCGGGAGATTAGAGATTTTGAGGAGCGTGAAACCACCTCTTAATTGCTGACGTTCCCGGAGTGGTAGCACTTGTTAGGGTCCCAGCTATGGGTAAATAGTTACAAATAAAATTTACCAACAATAAATTCTTGAAAAAAAAAATCCAGCAATGCTCACAAGAAAATTAAATTTCGGCATTAAATGATCCACAAAATTTTGATATACAGCAATACATTTTTTTAAATATGCCAGCAATACATTTTTGTAAAAAAAAAATACCAATATTCCTGGGAAAATTAAATTTTGGCATAAAATGACCCGTAAGGAGTTGATATGCTGCTAATCAAACAAACTCTCTCTCTCTCTCTCTCTCTCTCTCTATATATATATATATATATATATATATATATATATATATATATATATATTGATTGAATAAAAAAAAAATATTAAAAAAATTAAAAATTTCAGATACACTGCGTTGTAGATTAATATTCTTTTCGTTTTTTTTCTATTATTATTATTTCATATAGATTCCTCGACTAGTTTCGGCCCCAAAATGGCCATCATCAGGAGAAGAAATATTTCTGCTTGCTGGCAGCAGTAAACTACAGAAATGAATGTTTTGATGGAGAAAATGAACTTTTGTTTGTAGTTTTCATTTGTTTTTTTTTTTTTTTTATCTCTTTAACATGAATCTTTTAACATTCCTTGTGTTGGTCAAACAGACTCTTTTAAGTTGTTATTTGAGATAAGAGCTGGATGGATCTATGCTTCTCTGAATTCCCGTGGTCATTTTGACAGTTTTATTGGACCTGGTGAGGGGATGTGTCTCTGTTTAGTGTTTGTGTGTGTGTTATTTGGTTCTTAGGAAGTGAGTGAGTATGATATGTGTAAGCGTGTGTATTGCTGTGGGTGTGTGTTATCATTTGGCTCATGAGGGAGTGAGTGAGTATGACGTGTGTAAGTGTGTATATTCGTGTGGGTGTGTGTATAAGTGTGAGGCCTCCACACCTCCGTAATCATGTCTGTCTGGTGTGGGTGAGAAATGTGGGTAGGTTTTGATTTGTTGAGTTATATATTAGTACTATCTATATTGTTAAATTTATGATTTAGCCCGGCTGGATGTTGTGTTTTTAGACGTTGTATCCACTTATTTTCATGGGACTCTAAAATTTTTCTAATGTTATCTGCTCTGAACTTTTCTATTCTCTCAATTATAGTGAATTTGGCATGGGTTTTGAAATCGTGTTTTTCCAGGCGGAAATGTTGTTCTACAGGTAATAATTTTTCATGGGGGGTCGACTTAATTCGATTGCGATAATTATTAATTTGTAGTGAAAGGGCCATTCAGATTTTCCTACATATTGTTTCTGGCATAGTGTGCATTCTAGGAGGTAAATTATGTTATGACTTTACAGTTAGAATCGTGGTAGATTTTGAAAGTAGATTTAGTGATATATATATATATATATATATATATATATATATATATATGTGTGTGTGTGTGTGTGTGTGTGTGCGCGCGCGTGTTTATAGTGTTAAAGAAAAGTTTGTGGAACTTAAGGTGCGAAATAGCGTGTGAAATGTCGGCGAGACACGGAAACGTTTGCCAAATTGACAGGTGAAGACTGTCTAGTATTCTCCTTTCTTCGCCATTTTGTTTTTTATTTGTATTCTGACAATTTCCTCTAATTTTTCTGCACATAACAAAAAAAAAAAAGAACGAAAAAAAAAAGAAAAGAAAAACGTTCTTTCATTTATTATTTCCACGATGACGTACGTTGTCGACAGCCTCGTTATCATTTATATAACCCTCAAATTTTCTTTTCTCGTCTGCCAACTTCCATTCATCCATTGTCGTCTGAAATCGGCGTATTTTCTTCTGCTCCTAAGAACTGGACAGCAAAAGAAAAGAAAAAGTGTCTCTGAAGGAGAGAGAGAGAGGGAAAGAGAGAGAGAGCGAGAGAAAGAGAGAGAGAGAGAGAAATATATAAAAAAAAAAGTACAACGTTCACTTTCAACAAACCGTTAACAACTGACCGATTAACAGTTTTGTTGTGTTTCTACAACCAGACCCCCGACTGTTGTCACTTCCTGTCAAACGGGACGTGTCAATAGCCAAGTATCCGGGTCTATTCACCCGAATGCATCACTACTTCAATAATGAGCAGCAGGAGAAAAGACGATGACAGTACAGAAATAATAAAAATAATGATGACAGTGGTCAGGGTCCGGAAACCACATTGATAAATACGCTGATAGGTAATAATAATAATAATAATAATAATAATAACAACACCAACAACAACAGAAAAAATGGTGGGCAGTACAGTTTTCAAGATATGCTAAGATATCATATACGGAACTATATTATTAAAAATAATGAATAGAAAATGGCTGAGAGAGTTGCTGATTTATGATTACAAAAAAAAAATAAACAGAAAAGCTAATACAAAAAGAAATAGATTTGATTGTGGACGGGAGGGGGAGAATGAAGGGAAAAAGAAGAAGATGAAGAAGAATAATAATAAATGAATGAATGAATGAAGAAGAAGAAGAAGAATGAATGAATGAATGAAGAAAAATGAATGAATGAAGAAGAAGAATGAATGAATGAATGAAGAAGAATGAATGAATGAATGAATGAAGAAGAATGAATGAATGAATGAAGAAGAATGAATGAATGAATGAATGAAGAAGAATGAATGAATGAATGAATGAATGAAGAAGAAGAAGAATGAATGAATGAAGAAGAATGAATGAATGAATGAATGAAGAAGAAGAGGAGGAGGAATGGATGAACGAATGAAAGAAGAAGAAGAATGAATGAATGAATGAATGAATGGATGAAGACGAATGAATGAATGAAGAAGAAGAAGAATGAATGAATGAATGAATGAAGAAGAATAATGAATGAATGAAGAAGAATGAATGAATGAAGAAGAGGGGGAGGAATGGATGAACGAATGAAAGAAGAAGAATGAATAAATGAATGAAGAAGAATAATGAATGAATGAAGAAAAAGAATGAATGAATGAATGAATGAAGAAGAATGAATAAATGAATGAAGAAGAGGAGGAGGAATGAATGAACGAATGAAAGAAGAAAAAGAATGAACGAATGAATGAATAAATGAAGAAGAGGAAGATGAATGGATGAATGAAGAAGAGGAGGAGGAATGGATGAATGAAGAGGAGGAGGATGAATGAATGAATGACTGAATCAATGAAGTGGAGGAGGAGAAATGGATGAATGAATGAAAGAAGAAGAAGAAGAAACAAGAAAGAATAAAAAAGGAGAGAAAAAGGTGGTTAAAGAATAGAAGAAGAAAGAAAGACTAACAACAAAAAAGAAGCGAAGAAAAATAAAAAAGAGAGAGAAACGGAGTTTGAGAGAGGAGGAACGGAAGTAAATAAGAAAAAAGTCGTGAAAATAAAGAGAAAAAAATGAAAGGAAGGAAGAAGAAAAGAGATGGGGTGATTCGATTAGAAAGAAAGAAAGAAAGAAAGAAAGAAAGAAAGAAAGAAAGAAAGAAAGAAAGAAAGGTCGAGAGGGAGCGGAATGTAGGTGGAAAAAGACTGAAAAGAAAGAAAGAAAGAAAGAAAGAAGTGGAAAGTCAGTAAGAAAGAAAGAAAGAAAGAAAGAAAGAAAGAAAGAAAGAAAGAAAGAAAGAAAGAAGTGGAAAGTCAGTGTTAAGAAAGAAAGAAAGAAAGAAAGTAAGAAGTGAAAAAAAAGCAGAAAGAAAGAAAGAAAGAAAGAAAGAAAGAAAGAAAGAAAGAAAGAAAGAAAGAAAGAAAGAAAGGTCGAGAGGAGCGGAATGTAGGTGGAAAAAAAAAGAAAAGAAAAAAGAAAGAAAGAAAGAAAGAAAGAAAGAAAGAAAGAAAGAAAGAAAGAACGAAGTGGAAAGTCAGTGTTAAGAAAGAAAGAAAGAAAGAAAGAAAGAAAGAAAGAAAGAAAGAAAGGTCGAGAGGGAGCGGAATGTAGGTGGAAAAAGACTGAAAAGAAAGAAAGAAAGAAAGAAAGAAAGAAAGAACGAAAGAAAGAAAGAAAGAAAGAAAGAAAGAAAGAACGAACGAAAGAAAGAAAGAAAGAAAGAAAAGAAAGAAAGAAAGAGAAATAGAGCAAAAGTAAGCCAATGATGAAAAATAAAACAATTCATAAAAATAAAAAGAAAGAACAAAAAAGCAAAAAAAAAAAAAAAAGGAACGAAAAAGATGTAGAAAATTATGAAAAGTGTCAATCAAACAAAACAAAAAGAAAGAAATTTTATGAAGGAGAAATGAAGAGAAAAGAATGTAAAACGAAAAATATTAGAAGAAAAGAAAATACTCGCTGGGAGGGACGTCTGGTTCGGCACGAAGGACGTCTGAGCAAAAAGAAAAAAAAAAGAAAATATATCAATTTTTAAGAGAAACAAATTCTATGGCTGTTAGCTAAATGGATTAAGAGAAACAAAGAGAGAAGTCAATAGGGCTTTCCTGGTTAGAAAGGCTTCCAAGCGTAGAGGAGACGGGTTCAAATCCTGTCAAAGGACCATCATTTTTGATTTCTGCTTTTAATAGCGCTTGGAGAATATAAAAATGATAGGAGAGTTACGGGCAGAAAAGCAACAATAATAAGATGAAAGAACAACTAATTAATGAACTGATAATAAAAGTAATAAAAGAAAGAAAGAAAGAAAGAAAGAAAGAAAGAAGAAAAGTAAAGATAAGAAAGACATAAAATAAAAAAAGAAAGAATAGAAGGAAAAAAGAAACAAGGAGAAAACGAGAGAGGGGAAAACGAGAGAGAAAGAAGATGAAAGAAAGGAGAAAAGAAACAAATAGAAACTGAATGAAAGAAAAAGACAAAGAAAGAAAGAAAGAAAAATGGAAAGAAAGAAAATGAATAGAAAGAAATAGGGTGAAGGAGGAAGAAAAAGAAAGAAAAGTGAGAAAGATAAAAAGAGAGGAAGCAAAAGAAACAAAGAATACATCAAACGAAAGAAAGGAAGATATAAAGGAAGAAAGAAAGAAAGAGAGAAAAATATTAACGAAAGAAAGAGAGAGATAATAAAAATGAAAGAAGAACGAAAGAAAAGGGATAAAAAAGAAAATGAAACAAGAAATGCAAAAACGGGAAAAAGAACGAAAGAAAAGTGAGAAAGTTTAAAAAAGAAAAAAAGAAAAAAATGAAAGGGGGAGAAAGAAAATAAAAGAAAAGGGTGAAAGTTACAAAGGAAAAAGAATGAAAGAAAGAAAGGAAGAATTGAAGACAGGAATGAATAAATTGTAATGTAGGTACATAGATACAGAAATATGTGCATCGAAACACATGGGACTGAAAGCGTTACGTATTATCCAAAGTTGACCAAACACCCCCACCCCAAAGGACGAAAGAAGGATTTGCATATCATCGACTTGGGTCGGACAAATATTGAGTTCACATTTTTCTTTTAGATAGATAGATAGATAGATAGATAGATAGATAGACAGATATTAACAGAATTAAGATAGGTATTAACAGAATGAGATAGATAGATAGGAACAGAATGACAGATAGATAGATAGATAGATAGATAGATAGATAGATAGATAGATAGATAGATAGGAACACAATGACATAGATAGATAGATAGATAGATAGATAGATAGATAGATAGATAGATAGATATTAACAGAATTAAGATAGGTATTAACAGAATGAGATAGATAGATAGATAGATAGATAGATAGATAGATAGAACAGATAGATAGATAGATAGATAGATAGATAGATAGATAGGAAGATAGATAGAATTAACAGAATTAAGATAGATAGAATGAGATAGATAGATAGATAGATAGATAGATAGATAGATAGATAGATTGATAGATATTAACAGAATTAAGATATTAATAGAATGAGATTAGATAGATAGATAGATAGATAGATAGATAGATAGGAAACACAATGACATAGATAGATAGATAGATAGATAGATAGAGATAGATAGATAGATAGATAGATATTAACAGAATTAAGATAGGTATTAACAGAAATGAGATAGATAGATAGATAGATAGATAGATAGATAGATAGATAGATAGATAGATAGATAGATAGAAGATAGGTATTAACAGAATGAGATAGATAGATAGGAAACAGAAATGACATAGATAGATAGATAGATAGATAGATAGATAGATAGATAGATAGATAGATAGATAGATAGAATTAACAGAATTAAGATAGGTATTAACAGAATGAGAGATAGATAGATAGATAGATAGATAGATAGATAGATAGATAGATAGGAACACAAACGACATAGATAGATAGATAGATAGATAGATAGATAGATAGATAGAAACAAATGACATAGATAGATAGATAGATAGAATAGATAGATAGATAGATAGATAACAGAACAGAATTAAGATAGGATTAGAATAGATAGATAGATAGATAGATAGATAGATAGATAGATAGATATTAACAGAATTAAGATAGGTATTAACAGAATGAGATAGATAGGTAGATAGATAGATAGATAGATAGATAGATAGATAGAACAGATAGAGATAGATAGATAGATAGATAGATAGATAGATAGATAGATATTAATAGAATTAAGATAGGTATTAATAGAATGAGATAGATAGATAGGAACAGAAATGACATAGATAGATAGATAGATAGATAGATAGATAGATAGATAGATAGATAGATAGATAGATATTAACAGAATTAAGATAGGTATTAACAGAATGAGATAGAGATAGATAGATAGATAGATAGATAGATAGATAGATAGATAGATAGGAACACAATGACATAGATAGATAGATAGATAGATAGATAGATAGATAGATAGATAGATAGATAGATAGGAACACAATGACATAGATAGATAGATAGATAGATAGATAGATAGATAGATAGATAGATAGATAGATATTAACAGAATTAAGATAGGTATTAACAGAATGAGATAGATAGATAGATAGATAGATAGATAGATAGATAGATAGATAGATAGATAGATATTAACAGAATTAAGATAGGTATTAACAGAATGAGATAGATAGGTAGATAGATAGATAGATAGATAGATAGATAGATAGATAGATAGGAACACAATGACATAGATAGATAGATAGATAGATAGATAGATAGATAGATAGATAGATAGATAGATAGATAGATATTAACAGAATTAAGATAGGTATTAACAGAATGAGATAGATAGATAGGAACAGAATGACATAGATAGATAGATAGATAGATAGATAGATAGATAGATAGATAGATAGATATGAAAAGACTGACATTGGATAACAGACATATTTGAATATATAAATAAATAGATGTGGACAGATTTCAAAAGAAAGCGATAAACGTAATGAAAGAAGGGAGAGTGAAAGAGAGATACACAGATATAAACAAATTGATGAGAGAGAGGGGATATAGAGTGAGAAAATGAATGGAGATTTAATAGAGTGATTATTAGAGTGAGAGATTGCAAAGAGAAAGACAGATAGAGAGAGAGAGAGAGAGAGAAAGTATGAACGGAGATATATAGTGAGAGAGAGAGAGGGGGGAGCAAGAGAGAGGAACAAGTGAGACAATGAATGGCGATCGATCGATGGCCAGATAGAAAGACCATGCGAGAAAGGGAAAATAATCGTCAATATGGATAAAAATAGTTTTTTTTTTTTAACGCACACACACACACACACACATATATATATATATATATATATATATATATATATATATATATATATATATATATATATATATATATATATATATATATATATATAATTATAGATAACTAGACTCGTTTTGAAAAACCTCGAATTTTTTCTCGAGGGAAAAAAAGGTTTTAAAAAAGAAAGAGCTACAAACATGAACTTCTGCCGACAAAAAAAAAAATCGCACAGATGCAGGTCTGAAGCCCAATGAAAAAAACCCGATATGAGTAAACAACTAACTAACAAAAAGAGCTCAATACAACCGTAGAGCAGACTTAGATATTTAGGAGCTGAGATAAATGTTTGTTTCATTTAATGGATCGTCAGGGAAAGTAAGGCTTACTTTCCCTGACGATCCGTTTAGGTGAAACCTAGGTAAGTTTGTCTGGCTCACTAGGTGTATATATATATATATATATATATATATATATATATATATATATATATATATACACACTTTCGAATGGCCGAATACAGAGACTTGGTGCACTACGTGCCACAGGGTCCCCAAACGATTATCCCAAACTATTATCCCAAACGATTATCCGCAGGTTTTTGAATTCAGAGTTGTCCTTCTCCTAGACCAGTTGCCATCCAAGGCTATAGAACCCAGTCTGTCCTGCTATTTACCCATAGCTAGAGGAAGAAGAAGAGGATCCACACCTTTCCCAAGGGTATTAGAACAAGTGAATATAATGGATTCGACTGGAATTCGAACTCGGCTCTCCGATTCCTAAATCCGTTATCCATTGTTTCAGCGAAACGAAAGTGACTATAAACTGAGTGGGCAAAGGCGTTATTGTTGAGGGTTTATTTGTTAGCTCGATTTCGTACAACAATAAACTCCAATTAAATTCACAATGGGTCGATATTATAACTGGAAAATATCATAAAGCCACGTCCGGCTGTTACTTGCCAGCTCGAACCTCTGTAATTGTCCGCCAGTAAATTGTTCCTTTGTCCTTTTTGGCTTTCTATTGTCCTAAACTCATCAACTAATTCTTTCAGGAGAAATATGTCGCAAAGAATGGTTATTTATTAATTGTATTTATTAATTACCTTTTCAATGGCGCATCAGCTGAAGTCTGGTGTTGGCCATCACCTGGCGCAGAGGTCACCCAGATACAACATTATTATTATTATTATTATTATTATTATTAATAACAACAATAATAATAATAATAACACCTAGAGAAGAGCACGATTTAAGAAAAGAAAAAAACGGTGTTTAACAAAGTTTCGACTGTAAATCTGTCATCTTCAAGTTGTTTAAAAATTGCATCAGTCAGTCATGTGTCATGCGTAATACACGCTTCGGCGATCATGTATCTTTCGATACATGACTGACGAAGCAGATTTTTTCCGCGTAGTAGGTTGCAATTTCTTTCTGAGGTAGACTAGTTGCCATCCAAGGCAAGAATCCTGTCTGTCCTGCTATTTACCCATAGCTGGGGGTTGAGAAGAAGAGGATTCATATTTTTCCCAAGGGTATTAGCAAGTAAGTGAATGTAATGGATTCGACTGGAAAATCAGTCAGTCACTTATGTGCCATACGTGATACACGCTTAGACGATCATTTATATTTCGATATATGACTGACGAGGCATATTTTTCTCCTGTAGTAGGTTACCATTTCTTTCTGCGGTAGATCCAAAGTTATAGAACCCGGTCTGTCCTCCTATTTACCCATAGCTGGGCGAGGGGAGAAGAAGAGGATTCATACCTTTCCGAAGAGTATTAACACGTAAGTGAATTTAATGGATTCGGCTGGATTCCTCAATCCGAATTGTTATTCATGACTCCACCGTGTCTCCCTTAAAAAAACATAAAATGTACAAATCTTTGTACAAACGTCGCTTGTCTTGAGACAAACGGTTGTAATGGTAATCAACGAAACAAAATTTAAAAAAATGCAACCAGTGTAAATGGTGAAATTTTAAGCGTAGCATAGATGTGGTACAAGGCCGATATCCTGTGAGGATCGAACTTATTGCTCAAATCTAGATTGATCTACAGAGGCAAGCTTGCTAATCCTTACACCACGCCCACAACTAGATGAATGGCTTGCAACTTAAACGTGAGAAACATGATGGGGTGTGAGTCGCTAGCAGTTTTTGTATGTAATATTCATCCTACGTTTTAATAATAATTATTATAATATAAACAACTTTTTCATATTGGCGCCTTTATTTTAATTACTGATACTAGAAAGAACTGCGAAAATGTCACGACCTTCCAATTCGAATATTCTGACGAATCTTAATTCTTCAGTTAATGATAGCGAATTCTAGGAGAATAGATTATCTGTAAAAATTTCCCTATCGCTTCGTTAAATATTTGAGCTTAACAACTTCAAGAAAATGTTGCAATAGAAATCATGAATATGAATGCTGGTCATTATTTTAAGAAGTGGGTACAAATGAAAAAAATTGAAATTGTCATTTTTTTTCACTTCACTGAAACAGCCATTAAACATATCTATCTTCCCTTCTTTCTTTCTTTCTTTTCTCTTTCTTTATTTCTTTCTTTTTTTCACTGAAATCAAGTAGTATCTCTTTCCACGCGATCAAAACGGAATCGTCCATTATTTATGAATTATTGGTAGGACATAATGGTCGTGCGAACTAATGAAAAGTGCAACAGGCAAAATTATAAGATAATACTGATATGACAGTAAAATAATAATAATAATAGCATAGCAACAAAGGAATTTGAAAAACTATCGAAGTATAAGAACATGGAAATCGAAATAAAAAATATGGAAATTGAAAACAAGAATAATACTAATTAGAGAAGGTGCGCTTGTAATGATAAAAAAGGAACACAACAGCACATTGAAAAAATCCCTGGGAATCCCAGCTTACGAGAAATATAGAAAGTTGTCT